ATAGACTGTAATATGTATTGAGGTTAAGAATATAAATAATCAGCATATCCGGGACAACATAAATATTAGCATAAATAAAATTAGGTCCGAAGTTAACATGAATCATAGAACATAGAAACTTTGAAGTCCAAGAGGAAGGTAACTTATTCCGAAGGTATCATAGAATCTGTAATATGATTACATAGAGATAGAAGATACTTGTAATGGTAGTTGAGATTTACAGTTGTGATAACTGAGAACCTGGTAGTTGATGCCGGTGACAGTTCGGGATCCCAGAGGAAGTGGAACGTCCCCTGCTGGTAACCGTTACCAAACAACGGCTAGTGAAAACTGAGCAGATTTTATATGTTCTATAGTTACAGTGATCTTTGGAGTGTGTAACTCAGTGAGACTGTCGTAGTTATTTGTATTTACGTTCTGTGAGTGTTCAATAAATTCAGTCGTCTCTAGTTACAATCACATGACAGTACTTCATTCTGGGATATGACGCCGTGTAGTCCGGTAGAAGTTCGCTGATAGTTCGGAGAACATAGTGTCATCATGTTTAGGATTAAGCAAATAGCCTGCATGGAAAAGGCGGCAAAAAAGGCCAGTGGCTTGTCCAAATCAGATACAGGAAGTAAAAGGGGCTTAGAGGAAACGAAAAAGGATAATAAAGTTTTGATAAGGAATGAATAGGAGAAAGAGGAAGGCTAACTATTATGACCCTGAACAGAGACGTTACTGGCTGCTTGGGTGCCTCAATGTTCGACTCTGAAGATGTTGTCCATGAACTTCTATCAGTCTACACGGCCTTACATCGAACAAGATAATATTATCACGTGTATGAGTGACTATAGACGGTGTTTGGTTTGATAATTGGATTTATTGAACACTCACAGAACGTAACTACAAGTAACTATAGCGCTATCGCTAATTCACACACTTAACAGTTCACTACAACACGCACCGAGTCTTATTAATCTGCTGTGTCTTCATCGGTTGTTGCCCGATAACGGCTTCCAAATTCGTAGCTATCTCAGCTTCCGTGTTGACGTCCTTACGTGCTGGCGACTATGTCACAACTGACTTTTCCTACATATAACACCTCGGGAGGGACCGCGTAGAAAACACCGCCTACAATATTTCTACTGTTACGACATGCAGCTGTCGCACGAACCTCGTAGAAAACACCGCTCCCCAGTTAGTCCATTGGTACTTATTATGAATCTGTTGTCTAGAAATTGGAGTTCTTTACAGAGTCGTTACTTAGCAACAGTTCTGCACGCTACAGTATTTTTATAGTCATGTCCAGCCGTGATATCTCAGTTGGTATACCGACTAATTAACGGATTAAACGACCGAGGAATCGGAGTTCAATTCCCAGTAGGGCAACAGATTTTTCTCTCCTCCTTATAACCCAGATCACCTCTGGCGCCAATCCAACCTTCTATAGATTCAGTAGTGGAGGTAGAGCGGTAGGAGCGTGAAGCTGTCCTACTCACCTCTATATAATTCCGAGATTAAGAATATGTAGAGCTACACCTCCACTCACGCACACTTCTTCATGGCGTGGTTCGTAATTAAGTCCAGGCGTTATTAAAAATTCAGCACTATGATAAAGTTAGGTCGAAACTGATTTACAGCAAAGTGTCTTTCTAGTTGCTTGGCTTATATTTCGACCATGAGGATGGAGGCGATATATTCCTCCGAAACATGCAGTGAAATTATATCGGACTACACGGTAACAGTCGCCATTTTGAGAACTTCAAATCCAATGAATTTAGAAAGACTTTTGTCATGTATTTCCCAAGAAGCAAACATCTTTCACAGTGCAACTCTTTAAGACATTCGTGTTGTAAGGAATATTAAGTGTCTTAAATTTATTTTTAAATTACATAAAGCTGTATGTATAAAATATGAAGTGTCATGGTGTAATTGTGTTAGAGATGATATAAATGTATGTAAAGTGATGTGTTTGAGTCCGTGTAAGGACGTAAAGTTGTGGATAATTATTTTGAAACGTGCAGTACCAAGTTAGTAAAGAGAACAATGTTTGTCGTAAAAGTTACATGTGTTCAAGTCCAGTCGATTAGCACTTCTACAAAATGGAGTCTAAACAGTGAAGATGACTACGTTTTCTTCACGTCTTTATGTTCCCCTGCTTGTTTCAAGTGTGGAGTTAGTAAACTGTGTTTGCCGTCTTTATAAACACATTTTTATAGTCATGCGAAGTGACATCGTGACAAAGTGACAACTAATAAAACACACTGAACCCACGTTCACAGCTCTAAAGTGTAAAATAAAAGTTTATATAATGTTTAGAGAACTATCTGTTCTCTTTTGTGAAGGTTTTAACTTGGGCAAAAGAAATAACAAGAAAAAAATATTGTTGGGTTTGAGTTTATGGAATAAAATTTTATTTCTTTTTAATGAAATTAGTGGAAAGGGGGGGGGGCGGTGAAGGTGTTAATTTTACAAGTAAACTTCTTATGACAAGAGAATGGAGGACAACAGGAAATTGCGTCTTTTTTTGTCCCGAATCGGGCCTGCCGTGTGTATTTCTCTCCGACTTTTAATTTATTATCTTGGTTCACATCACGTCACACCCACTGGGTCCACACTTAAAGCATTTAGTACATACTGAGTTATTTTCAGAAAGTGTTTCAGAATTATACATTACCTTCGATACAGATAAACACTGCGGGGCACGCGGTAGCGTACTTGATTGAGGGGCTATGCTACAGGCTGGAAGGTCGCGGGTTCAAGTCCCGATGAGGTCATTGGATTTTTTTCAATTGACCTAATCCTTCCAGCCGCACTATGGCCCTGGGGTTTACTCAGCCTCTAACAAAAATGAGTACCAGGAATTAATTAAAAAATTTTCCTGGGAAGTAAGGCGCGGCTGGCGCGTAGGGCTGACAACCTTACCGCCATCTTTGAGCCGATTGTATGGATAATGTGGGAGCCTCAACGGCTCACAACCCTATGAGACTTCACGGGCTGTTACAGCGATAGCTTTACATTTTTTTTTACACATAAACATTGAAAAGGCCTGGACAGAAAGCTGCATAATGAGGAGCTCTTCTCCAAGTATAATTAGAATGATCATGTCAAGGAGGATGAGATGTGCATTTAGCACGAATAAGGAAGAAGAAGAATGCATGTAGGATATTGGTGGGAAAGCCAGATGGAAAGAGACCACTGGAAAGACCAAGGCGTAGGTGGGTGGACAATATTAAAATGGATTTTAGAGAGATAGGATGGGTTGGTATGATTGAATTGATCTGGCTCAGGATTGTGACCAATAGAGGGCTGATGTGAACACGGTAATAAACTTTCAGGTTCCATAAAATGCTGGGAAGCTCTTTGAATAGCTGCAGAATTGGCGGATTTTCAAGAAAAACTCAGCTCCATGAGTGAGTGAGTGTGTGAAATGCCTGGATAGCTCAGTCGGTATAGTGACGGGCTACGGACGGGGTTCGAATAGCAAGGGAATTTTCTCCACAGACTGTACCAGATCCGGGGCCCACGCAGCTCCCTAGCCAATGGCACCGGGGGCTCTTTCCCCAGGACTAAAGTGGCCGGGGCGTGAAATTATCCATTCATCCCCCATCTAGTGTCGAGATCAAGAATGGTGGAGCTATACCTCCACTTCTCATACGTCTTTATGGCGTGGTGCTTATAAAATTACGCACAGGGACTTTACCCTCACACTTACTACGCCTTGAAACAAAGATTTAGCTAGTTATGCTGGAAATTTTGGCAGAAACGAGTCAAATTTTAACCATAATTGGCAATCCGTTGAGAATGAACCGACGTTTCGGAGTAAATCATCAAGGTCGAAGAATAACCCAAAGGAAAAACCAATATTTTTCATTATTCAACCATGAAGATGGAAGCGATATATGCTTCCGAAGCGTCGGTATATTTTCAACGGACTACACGGAGTTATAATTCAGAAGATATAACTCTTCATAAATACCGGTTTAAGAACCTCAGATTTAACTTAGAACTGGATTTGTTCGAAGTACTGCAATGAAACTTTTCAATGATTCTGGGGTTCTCCAAATGTTCCATACGTTCACACAGAGAAGGGAGGGACTGAAGAAAACATAATAGGCTCCTCGTAGGCTTGTGAACACTGCAGATAAAAATGGTTGCATTTAATGAGAATATACACATATACATATATGTCTCCTTCCATATATAAATTTCAATTTAACGGTGAGATGTAAGCTGTGAACTACGAAATATCGGGTTGCCATAGCAACGAACTGCACAGCTTTAACACGTTGAAGGAGCATAAATTATATACTAGTTCACAAATGACCAAACAGTCTTCTCTTTCACCGTGTCGTCTTTATTCTGTTTGTTAATAACATTTTTAGTAAAAGATAAAGCTATCCCTGAAACAGGCCGTGGAGGCCCATAGGGTTGTGAGACGTCGAGGTACGCACATTTTCTAGGCAGTCGGCTCACAGATCGCGGTGAGGTTGTTAGACTTACGCACAGGCCGCACCTTTACCTCCAGGAAGATTCTTGGTACTCATTTCTGTTAGAGGCTGAGTCCACCCCAGGGACACAATGCAGCTGGAAGGATTAGGTAAATTGAAAAATCCAATTACCTCATCGGTAATGAAACTCGCGACCTTCCGGCTTGTATATATTATATCTGATATATCAGATCAGATATTATATCAGATATATTATATCTGAAATATAATATATTATATAAAGGAGACGGTTTACGATTTACTATATATTTTTTTTGCGTGTTATTCGTGGGAGCTGACGTTGAACATCGTCGACCTCGATGCATCAATCGATAACATGCAAGGATGGAAAAGGAGTACAGGAGGAAACAAGGGCCGCCAACAGCACAAAGCAAATGATGTGTGTTGCCGGTGAATTCCCAACGTGTGACTTACTGACACGCACGCACGCACGTACAGCAAGACTCAGTCTCTTTGCAGAAACAGACAGTTACCTTACCGAGTAATCTGATGCTCCCGTTTCAGCTCCCAAGCCTGTGGGAAGGAGGACAAGGAAGCCAGGCATTGACAGAAAGCCAAGACAAGCCTACAGCGCCAAGCAGCTGGAGCGGCTGGAGGCTGAGTTCAAGGTAAGTGTCTACACCTAGTGACGAACTTCGAAACTTTAATATATTTTCGGTAAGTTAAAGGTGTAGTTGTCCCTGTGCTTAACTAATTAAGCACTATGCCATGAAGACATAAGGGGAAGTGGATGCATATATCCACGTATTCTTGACCTCGACACTAGTTGGAGGTGAGTGGTTAGCTTCACGTATCAGCCGCTTTACTCCTCGGGGAAAGTCCCCCGCACTCACTCGCTAGGAGAATGAGTGGGTCCCAGAGCTGGTGTAGACGCTGTGGAGTACAGAAGAACCTCTTGCCACTGCCGGGACTCAAATCCCGCCCGTCCATCCTGTCGCTACACCGACTGAACTGTCTCGAGTCATGGGTTAATTGGTTTTAAATCTGTTCAACATCAATGAGTATTAAAATTCATCAAGAAAATTGAAATAATACTTATCCTAGCTTAATTTAATCCACATTTCCGTAATTATGTTTCCTCCATACGAGAACAAATGAATAGAAAGTGTAAAGTTTTTGTGGATTCTATGTATGTGCTACTCGATGGGAATCCACCGTGAAGATGAAGGCAGTAAGTTCCTACACGACCTTGCAACCATACGCGTGCCAGTGTTTTTCATAGCCTATGCTGTTTGGACCTCAGATCTTACATAATTTGTTTATTTGTGTCAACTTTTATTTGATACATATTTAATGTTAATAGAGCTAATCAAAAGTAAAGTTAAAATATTGATTGGAATCAAACAATTTGTAACTTCGCCATGAGCAAAAATGTATCAAGTAAAAGCAGACCAAATGACCTTGAGTTTTAGACTTTATCTCCTGTTTTGATTTATGTAACAATGATCCGTATTTTAGAATTTTCATGAGGTAAGAAAATTGTATTAATATGTCCTATCTTTCTAGGTTGACAAATATCTCAGCGTAAGCAAGAGAATGGAACTGTCAAAAGCTCTCAATCTAACAGAAGTACAGATTAAGACATGGTTTCAAAACAGACGAACAAAATGGAAGAAGCAGTTAACATCTCGCCTTAAAATCGCACAGAGACAAGGCTTATTTCCTCCGCACTACTTCCCTTCGGCGCAGCAGTACTCAGCTGTCTTCGCTCCATATTATGCAACTCCTCCGTTAGGATGTGTCTACCCATCGTCACCGCTAGAGGGATCTGGCGTTTCGTCTGCAGCAACGTCGCCTACAAGTAGTACTAGTTCAGCTCCACAGATAGCAGTATCATCTTCGTCAGGAAATTCTGCCAATATATGAGACAATGACATAAAAATATTTCAGACTATAGGCCTACTGAGGAGAAAGTAGTTATTTTGTAGGTGTCAGCGGAAGATTATCTTAGTTTATGTTGTCATGTGAGAAAAGATATTGTGCCAAAGTCGATATTGCAGCTCTCTGTGACAGTTCCTTCCCCCTAACTTTAGTGCCACATCTCTGTAAAGACAATCCGTTTGGTAGGTTTGATGAACAACTGATATTATTAAATGTTTTATTGATCAGGTAAAGGTTTTCTGTTTATAATTCCGATATGATCTTATTTATAGCACATTTTCTTAATGATATGAATTCTTACGTTTCCGGTTTTCAGGAACTTGGATGCAAATATGTGCCACAGGTTCTTAACTACAAATTAATCTGTTTATTCGAATAAGCCAGTGTTAAAAAAATTTTGTTTGTATATTGTACAAAACCACGATTCTCTTCGTGTATTTAACGATTATGTCAGTAGCTCATGTTATACAGCGTAAGGGTTTTTAATCGATATGATATATATATCGATATATAAGATGTCAGACATAATGATATCGATATATTTTTTTTCGGCTTAGGGTTTATCTAAATTTCTTCAAGCCCTAAACTATATTGCCTTTATATGTATTATGAACTCTCTTATTTAAATATTAATTACAACGGAAAGCTGGATTTTAAATTAGTATTCTTTAAACTGTTTAAATAACATAAACCAATTTCGTGAAATACATTTTGCATTCATTTTAACTTACCACCAACACCATTATTGATTTTCTTTCCAAATAATCATTGGAAGCGAGAGGATCTGCCTAGCTGTACCGATCTTCAATTGTAGTCGGGAAGTTCTAGGTTCAAATCTCCGTCGGGACATCTATCATCTTGGCTTAGGTTTTTCGTAGTTTTCTTCAGTCTCTCCAGGCAAATGTTGGGATAGTACGTCAATCTGACCATGACCCTTCAAATATTTTCCAATTAAACATTCATACTGCAATTTGACGTAATGTATTCGGGTAACAGAAACAAACAAACAAACTAACTCCATGGCTTGAGTCCGCAAGCGAACTATAGAAAACCGAAATTAACGGCTTTGGGGATCCGTTGCGCTGACAACGCGACACCCTCTATCCGCTAAAGTTGGTACTAACTTCGCCGACCAGCGGGGGTCGCTCTGTCGGTCGTAAAATAATAACTCCCCCCCTCAAAAATATTGAAACGAGTCAATGAATTCTCTTCAGTAGAGGGAGTTACGGTTTCTTTCAGCATTTTAGGCTAAACGTCAGTACCTTTATGCTACCGAGAAATTAAAATATATATCGATAACGAATACGATTGCATTGCATTATCTATATAGGCTGATATCCGTAACAAAATATGTAGGTTTCTATAACGTTACAAAGTGGAAATCTGTATTATTATTCTTTGTAAAGAACCGAAAATGAAATGTCACAGTGTTACTGTTCTATGGGCCCTTTATACAATTATTATTTCATACATAATCGTCTTCTTCGAAAGGGTAACAGCGTACAGTAAAGGAAACACAAACAAAAGATTGAGGTTAATTAAGATCTGTAACGATCTGCTCGACAAAGAATCATGTTCTGGAAATGCTCGATTTTATTCTTGGTCCGGTCACGGGCTGTCCTGAATGAAGTTTTTCTTGGCTTTCCTCAGTTACTCCAGGAAAATGCCGAGGTTGTATTTTAATTAGGCCACGACCAATGCCTTAACAAACTTTTTTCTTGAAATTCATCATTCGATTACTTACCGTTCGACGTTGTCTAGTCCGGATACTGACAGGATCCTAAAATAAACCATCAGTTCCTTTCTCTCTGTACTGCTACTGCATCTCTTCAGGAAATATAAATATATACGTAGATACAACACTGATTTGAAGGTAAACCCATATTAATTTTTTATATAATAAAAAGTTCTGGGAACTACTTATCACCTACTTTCCTGAAGACAGAGAAACAGAAGAGAGAAAACTGTGGCGAGGTAGTGGAGGACATTACACCTGGTGAGTGACAAGAAATATTTTAAAGTTTTTAAGATTCGTAGGCAGTGACCGCTCTTCTTTGCGGTAAAAGTACATTTTGAGATGTAGAGTAAAGCTTTAGGATGTGAAGAAGGTACAGTGTTAGGAAGTGTACTTTGTTTGGAGCAGAAGAGAGAAGTTGGGCCGGGGATTTATTGCGCATGATCAGAATTCATTTTGATATCTACGTTGGACAATCTGCATTAGAGCGAATTTTTTCTTACCACTTAGAAGGCTGCATGTGAAGTATGCAGTGCAACGTGAAAAGGGACACATTTTCGTTGCAATATATATTTAATATTTTGATGAATATAAAAATGGCGTACAGCAGTTCTTATATTGTTACGTGTATATTCTTTTCTGCGGGAACGTTTTTGCCGAATTGTTGCCTAACAACGGTCATTTTTACTAGCTGCATTATTTCTGTTTTTAGGCGGTAGGGGAGAAACAGAAACAGAAAGCTGATCTCATAAAACTCCTTTTTTTTTCAAAATAAGCGAAATAAGCTAAAAATTGCAGAATTGTAAATGTCTTTATACACAGTTGATGAATTTCGATCACGTGATCTCCCACGTACAAAGTAAATGTTATTTCCGCTGTATAAGTTCATACGGTGAAATGCTCGCTCACATTCTAAGATTAGTTGTCTTCATAATCGCCATCTTGAAAACCGGAAGTCGTAATTATGAAGGGTGTAATACTTAAATAATGGAGTGATTATATCTCTTAAGGTTTTGTTCGGGCTTTCAGTTACTGTGTTGGGGTCGAGTAAATTTATTTTGGATTTGTTGTTTTATGTACCCCTTTCATGTTGTTTTCGTACTAGAATTTTTAAATTAATACACTAAAATATATAAAATATAAAACATCAAACCTTCCTCCCAAAATAAATAATTAGACGTAATGTGTTTCCTGTGAGGTACGGTCTGTATTTATTTAAAAGATTTTATTTTTGTGTTGAGTGTCATCTTCAGACAGAGAGTTTCTTTTTCTCTGGAGCTATTACTAATCACTTTACTTTCCCTGAGGCTTCATTATAAAGTAAGAAGATTAAGTGTAAGAATTTTCTGCAGTTCGGGACGCACTAACAAAGCGTAGGAACAAAGACCGCTGGAGTAAGAGGATTTATATCGTCGAGTCCCTTCCTCCTTGGGCGCTCTTATTTCTACGTCGGATATAACACTACTAAATCCTCTGGAACTGAACTGAGTTCAGTTCGCAAATAAACAAGAACAAACTGAGGTCACTAAGACTCTACTTTTCAATCACAGTTAGCCTTTGATCCTGCTGATATCGTCCCGCCCAGCAAATGTAATTTCATTTCATGTCTTCAGCATCAAACGACGCAAAGTCATTCGCCTGTAATACGATTTCTAGAAACGAATAGGTTCACTGTGAGGGAGGGGTGTGTACACTGTCAACTATTTCGTATAAAAATGAAAAACTGGAAACGCGAATTCTATTTTCGAGAAAGTACTGAAAAAAAAAGAGAAAGATATCTCTGATACAGGCCGTGGAGGCCCATTAGGGTTGTGAGACGCCGGGGCTCCACCATTTTCTGACATCATCATCATACG